AGTATTTTAAAATTATTTATTTTAACCATATCATATACAGTGAGACCCCAAGATGCGGACATAATTGGTGCATCAACAATGTCCCTATGTTGGGATTCCCACATGTTTGAACCTTGTTCTCCCATAGATTTCAATAGAAATATTTTAATTGGTTCTCCTATCAATCAGTAATCAAGAAAAAAATGTCCCAAAAATAGAATAAAATCAATGTTATCAACTTGAAGATGCAGAAATTAAATGTACAGAAGAAAGTCACCCAGAATCTGATCTTTTGAAATCAGAATAGGCTCAAAGAAGCAAAGAACAACAGGTTTTGATATACTGAGCATGCATAATCAAATAAATTCAAAGAAAGATGCACAAAATTAGCCTGTTTTGATTATGAATTTTGGTAATTTTAAGTTGACCTTTATTTTTTTGTATTATGTAATTGTAAACAACGTAAATCCTTCAAAAAATATGAAATTTTAGAAATATTAAGTATAATTTTTTTCAGAAATGTTGGGAAAATGTCTTCAGGTTGAGTTATTGTCTGATGTGTTAGATTTTTTTGAACTTCAAGTGTCCCCAAGTCAAATTGCTGTGCCCTTTTGTCAGGGTGTCTGCATTTTGAGGTCTCACTTTATACTATATTGATGTAACAAGATGTGTTGTAACCAACATTTTTGTGAAAATATTTGTGGCCATTTTAACCTTAACTGTAACTAATTTTTGTAACCATAACAGTAATCATATACTTCTTGTAGCCATAACTGTAATCATAACTTTTGTAACCATAATTGTGACAATATTAATTATTGTTGTGATGAGATTTGTTGCAAGAACTTTATTTTAATTCATAACCATATGTGCAAGACTTGAAATATATAAGAAGCAAAAGCTGCAGACTGTGAGACTTAATAATGTAAGGCTCTGATTTTTTGTTCTCCATATACAAGCGATTTTTCTGATCATCGGGAATTTCTGAACTATAAAGAGATGAAAATTTGCGTCTCTGATATTTATTTTATTTTTTTCAAGGAAACCCCTTTCCAAACGAAAGACTATCGCTAATTTTAACAAGGCAATAATGAAATCGGCTGCCCATTTTTTCTTCACCCGTCCCACCTTTTTAATTGAACTTCACACTACACCGGGGGGGGGGGGGGGCTTTCTATTCGAATTTCTCGGGATTTCCCTGCCAATCAGCCTCACTATACTATAACTGAGGATGACGTTGACGGAGATGAACAGTTGTTACACCATCATAGGCACAGCACACAACACCTTGGCACATCACCCGGCGTTTATTGCAAAACGTGTATTCTCGCATTCTGCCGAGTCACGCGCGCGCGGGGCTCTTTTCAAGCGGAGCCCTTTTCAAGCGTCATCATTTCAATCCGCTCTCATCAGTCGCCGCGTGCCTCCATGAATAAGCAGCCGAATGATGAGTCTCGCCTTCTTTTTTTGTTGTCGCCTTTTTTTCCCCTTCATCTGCTGTGTCCTGTGTGTAACTGAATTTTTCAGGACAGATTTTATTTGTGTGCTTCAAATGGGCCTTGAATTATTTTTTGGACTATTTCATTGGATTTGAAATTGTGGTGGAACCTTGTTGTGATGGTAAAGGTATAGACTCTTTTGTCTTGGAAAGCAAGCATCACTTTGTCTACAATTTTGAATTTGAACAGGAAGCTTTATTTTCTGCTTTTCAGTGTTCACAAGGTTCACACAATATTCCCACATCCAAAACCCCCTCCCAACCCAAATCCTTCCAAAGTCATTCTATCTGTTTTCAATGGAAAACAGCAAAGGAAGTTGTATGTGGACACTGAAAGAAAAAAAAAATACACCCCACAATAAATGTACATCAGCACAACTGGTGTCTATACAATGCATTTTGTGATGGGTCCATGTGAATCTCTGCCCATCTTTCAGAGGTTCTCTATATATCAGTGTTCTCCAACCCATGGTCCATGGACTGGCACTGGCCTGTAGAAGAGTGTTCCCATTCTGTGGGAAATTTCCTGCTACATAATGAATTTATCAACTGTAGCAAGGAAGTATGTTATCTTTGTCCAAATTTTTGCAAAGACAATTAAAGCAAAGTTGAAATCATCTGATGAAACAATGAAAAAATTGGCTTTTCTCCCTAGTAACACAGTCAACCCCCGTCTAACGGACTTGATTTGTGCAAGGGACAAGTCTGTTAGACGAAAAGTCCTTTACACAAATTCAATTACATAAAAAATTAAAAATTTCAATTTTCAACACTAATTTTAATCCAAAAGAAGTCTGTTTGGTGGATTTTGTCTGTTGGGCGGGAGGAAAAACTGCTTGCAGTTTTTCCAGCTGGTCTGGAAAAACTGGTCTGTTTGGCAAAAATCCCTTACATGGGAGGTCTGTTAGGCGGGGGGCCACTGTACTTGAGGCAAATTTGTTGCATGCTGAAATGATACATTTTGATTGTTTTCATCCTGAGAAACCTTACCTCAAGCCCAGCACCTCTCTGAATTGTGGAAGACATTTCCCTACATACAGCTGATTTGTTGGTCAAATAAAAAAATTCGTCTTTGAAAAAATTATAAACGGTATTTGAGAAAGTTCGTCTTGAAGAACCTCAGACGTTTTTGAATACTTTGAAACGTCCAGATGTCCTTAAATGGTCAGGTGATAAAAAATTTCTCTGGAATTTTGCTGGTCTGTGGTCCCAAAAAGGTTGTGGAACTCTGCTCTATATGATTAAATTCCCTCTTTAAAGGTTATTCTCTTGTCCCCTGATTTTCAATGTAGACAGATAAAACATATAGTTTGAATAATTATGTTTTTAAAATCCAGTTATTTTTAAGAAATGCAGTATGACCAAACCTTGTGTTGAAAAAATGTTATTCCAACAAGACTTGTTACAGCAGCAGAAGTTGTTGCAATTTTAAGAGCTTCCTCCAACAGTAAACAAATTCAGCTGTTGCAAGAATGTTTTGGTAGAAACCTTATGGTATAACAGTTTTGTTACAACCATTTCTTTGAAACAAATCATCTTGAAACAAATCTCATTGCAAAAATTTGTTTGCAACAAAAAAATGGTACCTCAATTCATTACCTTTATTAAAATAATATTGCAACAAAGAAAACAGCTATACAGTATATAGTATAGAGGGAACCACAAATATGGGTTTCATTATGGAGAAAAATTCTTTACTGTCCAAACTCAATTTTGTTTTTGGCTGTATACTGCGGGGACCTTGAAAACAATAATCAATTCTGACAATATTTGTTGTAACAGAACACACTGTATATTAATGCTCCGCAGTACTACGGGTTTTGAACCAAGAAAGATGCAGCAACGACATCTAGCTCGCTTTTCTTCAACATCCCCTCATTTCTCGGCTCATCACTGGCAACATTTGAAAAACCCCAGCGGAATGCGTCAAATACGCTTTAAGTAACGTGCCTGTAATATGTAGACTCCAAAACCACTGTAAATTAATGTGCGATTAGTTAGTCCATCAAATTGACGGATGTCCCTTTGGGTTTTGAAAAATGCTGCCTCAGTATATTTATTCAATTTATTATGAGGAAACATGTTCCTGTTTCTAAATCCGCATGCGCTACAAACCGCGTGCAGTGGGGAGAGGGAGGGATAAAAGAAAGAAAAAGAAGTTCCAGGGAAGTAGATAACTTATCTGATGTTTATAAGGGATCCAGAAATAAAGGCAGATACACGTTTACTGGGATTGTACTGTGATGGCATCAGGACGTCAGTCTTACTGCTCCCTGTTTATTAAATCCAAGGTTGTTGATCAAGTTACAGCAGGATACATGGTGTACATCATCCCTCACAGTCACTTTCTCAGTTCTCTGTGTGGAAGATAACTCACTTGATTGTGCTTGCTTTTATTTTAATACTGGGGTCTTGAAGCTCGTGAATTAGCATTCATTTCCTGTTCGTGGAATTACATTTGATAAAAAAAAAATTCTTATATCTTTTATTAATTTACAAAGTATACCTCATGAGTTGTGCATGATGTGGGACTTGAAATTCAGCAGAGTGTCTTTGGTTAATTGAGGAAGGTGCTTTTGCTTGTTTTGGCATTTCTTTAAGGAGAAGAAGAAGCATGCATTTCTAAATAAAATAAAACACTTTTTAATTCACACATTGTTTGATCTTTCCTGTTTTTGCCCAATAATTTGAAAATCCAATTCAAACAAGATTTAAATTACCTATAAATACTATAAAACAATACTGGTGGTGCCCCTCAATTTGACCCTAATCCATTGCCATTCAAGGGTTGAATTGTGAGGTGGTCAAATTGCAAGATAAAATTTGATGTTTTCCACATTGAATTTGACATTTTGAGTCTCTTTGTAGGTCAAATTTTGAGCCAAGAGGTCAAATTGCAAGGAACCACCTGTACTTGAAATTTAGCAGAATACCTTTGGCAAATTGAGGAAGGTGTTTTTGCTTGAGGAAATGTTTGAAGGAGGATAAGAAACTTGTATTTTTGAAGCAGACTCTTTTCAATTGAAACATTTTTTGTTGGAACCTCCCTGTTTCCCTAAAAGTTGAAAATGCAATTTTTAAAATCCAAACTATTAATTTATGCAAAAAGTTTAAAAAATAAATTGGAAACTCGTGTGCTGTAGAAGATTTTCCTCAGTCTGAAAGAAATCAACATTCAAGTGCTTCAGCAAATAATATTTTTTGTCTAGATAACTTTAGTGTAAATACAGTAAAACAGAATTTCATCCCTTCATCCTCAGCAAGCTTTACGTAGTGGAAGAGGCGGTACCTAAGTATACTAACTATACATATTAATCAAAATTGTCCATTCAGCATTTTAATCATTCATAAATTCATTTGGAAAAAGCATGTGGATTGTATTGACAATTTATTTTCACGATTTAAAAAATGAAAATGGCGTTTTGCAGTGGGGAAAAAGTGCTGTAAGAAAAATATAAGATACCCCATGGATTCCAATGAAAAAATTTGCAAAATTCAATTCGTGTTTCTCTTTTAAATTCAGAAATTTATCAAGGAAAAAATGGGACAAGTACCCAGAGTAATCGATGGCATCGAGTACGATATTGCAACTGACGACGATGCGCAAGAAATTGCAGAACTTTTCATCAGTGACTTTTGTCTAACTGAGCCACTCAACAAAGCACTGAAGGTACAGTATTTTAAATTAATTTTTATTTTTAGAATTTTGTTTGTGAAAATTAAAATAAGATTTTCATCTATTTTTGCAGGTCACTCAATTCGAAGCCAGGACCCCAGTAGAATTTGGCGTGAGGAAAGTGATCAAAGACGGCATCAGCGTGAAAGCAACCGATATTTCGAGCAAAAAAATAGTTGCTGGTCGTTTGTCAATGATTGTTGATTCTGCCAAGAAGGGAGAAGACGCTGTTGCACTTCGGGAGATTTTCCAGGTTGTTCCGGAACGTCTTCATCCCCTTATTAATTTTGTCACTCAAGTTGCCAGCGCAGAAATGCCCGATATTTTCCAAAAATTTGGAGTTGACAAGTATGTCGAATTCATGGCTGTGAACGTGAACGTTGACTACAGGTGAGAGCATTTTGATGCACTTTGTATATTTTAGTACACATTTTCCCATTGACGCTGAATCTTCCAAATGTATTTTCTCATGACAGCTGGAAATATGTACAAATGTCCCAAATTGTGTCTTATAGTAATCAGCAGTCGCTTTATTTCCATTCACTCCAAAAGAGTATAACCACGTGATAATTTACAATCGAGAAATACAATATGAGAAAACTTTTAACGAAATCGACTTTAAAATTGATACTGCGATGTATATGATAGGGCGCAAAAAGTCTAAGACCGCATTAACTTTAATAAAATAAAGGTACTTAATTGATTTTGCCTCAATTTTTGAACTGAAATAACAATGATTTTTGCTTGAATCGGATGAGTTTCGTGATTTAAATGAAATTGCATCAGCGCTTATAATTACGAATATACAGCAGTAGAGTGTAATCTTATTCTCAATTATTTCGATTTATTTGTTAGTGCTGAAATTGCGGACACAATTGTACAGATTTTGGGACTTTTCCATTCATTGCAGGGGAAAGAGAATTGCACAAAACATTTTGAACGTGGCTTATGATGTCTGCCGAAGCAAGGAATTTCATGTTGTTAAAGTTCTTGCAACAAATCCGAGAACTGCGCACATTTTCCAGAAACAGGGCTTTGAAAAGGTCGCAAGCTACAAGGTTTTGGATTACATTCACGACGGAAAATCCTATTTCGAAGGGATTGAAGAACTTGAAATTGCAAAAACCTTCCTTAGAGACCTGCGCACTGCTCAATAGTCGAATATGACTGTAACCCGCTGTTTCAACTGAAACCAGATGATTAATTATTTCATTTTTGTTGTTGAAAATTTGGGGCGTTCATTCGTGCGAAATGGTGTGAATGCGAAGAGCTTATCAATTATGAACGACACCTGTTTTCAACGCATGAAGCTCAATCTCGTATGGTTTCTCCTTGAACAATAGGTGTCTGGAAATGCACACTTTATCGCAATTATGGCCTTACTGTTTTGATTTGAAAATTGAAACCAATGCAAATGGAAAGTAAATTCTGTGTCGTAATCATGATTCAATCGATTCTGACTGTTGTTACAATTTGTATGCGAGTATTGGTTCAAGACTTGATGCAACATCTTCTCACTTGTTATAAAGATGTCAGATTAAATCCCAATCGCAATATTCCAGACCGCGCAGTTCAGTCGAAGGTAGGTCAATTTTCCCAGTGTCTTTGACTGAAATGCCTGTGATGTCTGGTGGTGTAGTTTCTTGCCGTAACAGAACTCTTGGTCAGCGAAACTCTAGGCCAATGCACCCCCCATAAATACCCTCACTCCCTCTTCTCATCACTCTCTTCTTTAAGCACACTAGTGACAGACTTGAAGATTTGAGTTTACAGTGCGCTGGGCGGTGTCACAGGACTATAGTGATACCAGGTCTAGTAAGGATGTTCACACTGGAATAAAGGGTGTCACAGGACAACTTCTTCACAGTATACAGGAGTCCACTTTTTTGTCATTCAAGTGTTACAAAGTTATCCTGCCAGCGGCTCCCCTGATTCATCGATAAGAGGAGTGGGGTTGGGTGTGATCTTTGGACGTTTGGCTTTTCGCCAGAATGGTCGCCTAGATGGCGCTCGTTTTGGTAAGGGGGCACCCTTACTCTCCCCCCCCGGAAAAAAAGGAAGGTTTTGTTTTGTTTCACGACATGACCCCAAATGAACCCCAGAGGGAGTATTGCCCTGCGCCGAATTTGCGGTTATTGGGTGACGCGCGGACACATGATCGAGAGGCACAGCACGTTCACTGACCGACGGACATTGACTCGACGGACGCGCATAAACATGTTCTTGGGCGGGGTGGATGACACTTGAAGCACCCGATTGGAGATGGATAAGACCGAGATGTTTTTTGTATCCCGGTATTGGCGCTTGGGGAAGTCCATGAAATGGGACCATTTCCCAGGCATTGACCCGTCGTATCTCTGGTCCTGCTCCCACCCAGTATTCGCCTTGTCCTTTGTCCGATAGCACTATAAAAGGTCCAAAGCGTTTCGTTCGGAAGCGACGATGAGCGGCGTGTTGATCTACAGAAGGCAGACGAGGAAAAATTGCTATTACATCGCCAGGTTTAAATGACTCAGGTTTTTTTTTGTTCGCCTGATCGATAAATTTCTGTCGCTGAGTGACGATGTGTTGTGGCATTTCGTCAAGTCTTTGTTGCAGGTTCTGCCGTTTGACGGAAAAGGTGGTATCAGCGTCGAGTACAGTTGCAACTCCGAACATTGCTTCAGTTGGGGTAGTACCCGTTGTTGAGTGTGGAGTCGAGTTGTACGCTTTGACGGATTTGGTGAGGTGTTGCGCCCAAGTGGTCTCATCCCCTAATACAGCTTTGTTTTGAATCTGGCCCAAAGTACGAATGGCCCGCTCGCAACATCCGTTCCCTTCCGGATGCGTGGGTTGGGCTATGTGCTGTTTAATATGGGCTCCACGTAAGAAATGTTTGAAAGCATTACCTCGGAAGACGGAATCCGCATCGGTGTGAATGAATTCGAATTCTCCCAGCTGGCGGCAAAGCTCGGCCAGAAAGGGGATGACGGTTTCGGTGTTCGCTGCCGGAATTGGTTTGACACACATGTACTTGGTGTAGTGGTCTACGGCGACGATGACGTACTTGAATCCTTCGGGCGAAGTTGGTAGAGGTCCGTAGAAATCGACGACAAGGCGTTCGCAGGGTCGAGTCGACTCTATAGGGGAGAGCTCAGTTCCAACTGTCTGGGTCGGGTCATTAAAACGAAAACAGGTGGTGCAGTGCAGAACCCTCTGCCAGATTTGTTGGCGCATACCGGGCCACTGGAATCGATCGCGAAGCGTTAGGTATACCTTTTTCCAACCGGCGTGGGCCAGTTCCAGATGATAGGTGTCGATTATCTGCTCGCGCTGGTCTTCGGAAGGCGTGACCCGGGCATCGGCGACATTTAGGGATATGCGGCTAAGAGCGTCCGGTCCTTGAAGAAAACGTCCAGGGCGATGAACAATTTCGAAGTTGTACCCTGCGAGTTTGGTGTATAAACTAACTGCACGTTCGGTTTGAAGATCCCCTAGTAGAGCTTTATGATCGGTGTTAACTGTAAAGCGCCTGTGTAGAAGATGATGTTTAAACTTCTTAGTTACACTCCATACCACAGCAAGAAGTTCCCGCTCTGTGTTGGTGTACCGGGTTTCTGTATCAGTCAGCACTCTGCTCGCGTATTCGATAATCCGATGATGATCCTGTTCATCTGTTTGCACGAGGACGGCTCCCAGGCTGATGGCTGAGGCATCGCAGTGTACTGAGAGAGGGAGGCGAGGATCGATCCGTTCGAGTTTGGATGTTTCTGCCAAACAGTCTTTTAGGTGCTCAAAGGCCGATAGTGCTTCTGCAGTCCAATGCAAACGCGTCTCGGGTTTTTTAGGAATGATATAACGTCAAGACAAAGAGGAGTTGTCAGGTTAAAAGCTCAAGACGAAGTGAGGTTCCTCTCCTGCTCCGCTAACCTCCTGCCAGCGGCTCCCCTGATTCATCGATAAGAGGAGTGGGGTTGGGTGTGATCTTTGGACGTTTGGCTTTTCGCCAGAATGGTCGCCTAGATGGCGCTCGCTTTGGTAAGGGGGCACCCTTACTGTTTCAAGGTTAATTTCAGAGGTCTGCTCCCTCACGTTGCAAGGGTGGATGCGTGCTTGAGGAAGTGAAAGCTGTGAACGTGTGGAAGATCGTCAGGCAGTCTGACCCATGGCGTTCTTGATATTGGAACTAGGAGCAGTATACATCCGGAGTTTAATGAGGAGAGAAAGCTTTCATTTTGATCTGCAAGGTTTTGGATTTGCTTAGACCTCGGAGTGGAGGAAAGTGATCGTGACCCGTTGAACATGTCGACACTTCCTGAATATTTTATCCGGAAATACGGTAATATGAAATTGCGCTCCACCCAGTGGATAACTCGAATAGTGTAGATGCTGTCAAAACCTGTAACGCGTACTGGGATTCACCGTTGAATTACAATGTGTCCCATGAACATGCTGTGGAGGTTCGACTGCGTTGAATTTGTCTTTGGAGTTATATTTGATCTGTCAGAAACTGAAAATTTCAACCACCGCACAAATAACTGCCGTGGAAGAGTGAAGTGTTGGGATTTGATAGTTCCAGAGGCCCGCCGCAGTAACTATAGAAAAAGAATACTAACGGCAAGAGCAATTCGTCTTTTATATTCTCACAATGAGCAGCGAAGAGAGCCATGTCCGTTGGCACATTTTATCGTGTATTTTTCTTCATTTCGCGGATCTGCTCAGTTATTTGCCATCACAACGGATACGACTCTCGTTGCCTTCATCTTGAGCCTAAGCAAGAAAAATCGCGATAATGTGTTGTACCCATTCTTCTGAGTGAGGTTACTGTTGTATTAAGGATTCAATTATCATTCCTGGCTGTACGTTTTATTTGAATGTCATGCATTGAAATTCAAAAAGATTTACTGTACTGTAATTGCGACGTGGTTCTTTCGTTTCTGTAGACGGAGTCGAAGGAAAGTTTGGAGGGCCGTCGGACGGCGGCACGTTTGTGTCACTCCGTAGTTTATTTATGTCCTATTAGTTCTCTGGACGTTGTTTCCAATTGCTCACGGATTCGGAGATCCGCTTGTTGTAGTGAGGCTCAACGGTGCTCTTCAGCGATGGAGTACCCAGAATTTCATCACGGGTGGAGTTGACTGCGGTTATGAGGCTGTGTAGCTGCTCTTGGGCATTTGGTCCATCGTCTTGTTGCTGAACAAGGGGCTTTTCGTTGGGCTTTTTCCTGTTATTCGCCATGCAGTGGTGATCTGATGGCAGGCGAAGTTCGTATTTTGTTGAATTTTTTTCAGTGTCAGCTAGATAACCGTACTGTATACTTATTTCCTTGTAAAGAACCCGAGGCGAAGGCGTCCATGCAAGGTTTGGGACTACAGTCGAGCCATCAGGAAGTCAATCATGGTTGCTGGTCTACCAGAGCTCATCGTGAGAGGCAAGTAGAAGTCTTCTGACGACCAAATGACTTTTTGATTTGAAAATCGCGGTTTTTTCAGGCAAAGAAGCTCTGGGATTCAGCATAACCGACAATATACGAGTGGCAGTTGAAGAGGATGGAACGGAGGTAGAGGATGTGGAGTACTTCCAAACGCTTCCAGACAATACGGTGTATTTGTTACTTCGTGATGGAGAAAAGTGGATCGCTCGTCCCGAAGATTCCAAGCGCAACGCCGAATTGCAGCTAATTCGTACAGGCATGTGTTGGTTCTTTTTCTGTATTCCTTTTTGCTTTGTTCGCATCAGTATCTATCTCTTTTTGTGTAGTGATTCCGAAAGCTGTTCGAGAAGCTGTTCCGGCGCTGGGTTTACGTGATGAAGCGCCAACGTGGCAACTGGCAGATCACAAGGGTCTCATAACTATATTCCTCGAATGGGATTTACGAGCCAGTCGTCCTGGTCGGGTAGACGAACGACCGTCTTTGACTCTTACCTCGGCAGACTTGAATGCCGCCCAGGATCCTGGTCCAAAGTCCAAGGAAACGTTCATCAATCACATCGTTCCTCCACCAGTTCAGATGACATCTAGAACGCGGTCTCCTCGGTAAGACACGTCGCTCTTTTAGTTTTTCTTTTTGTTATTTCGCATGAGCTGTTCAAATTTTTCTACTTAATACTTGTTGGGCTGTTCTTCAGAGCTTCAACGCTTCAAACTCTGCTTAAATCTCAACAGTGTCTAATTTTTGAGTCTTCATTGCCTCGTGGCTGTGGAAGCGGTTGCATGTGTCTCGCGTCCTTCTTAACATATTTTCTCAATTATATTTCCTCACCTGGCCTTAGTGGTTATTCCAATGCAATAATGGTAAATTCATTGCTATTTTATTAGAACCTCGATAATTCGAATCTTCCTGTGTCAAATTTTTTTGAAGTCCCTGTCTCATTCTCTTTGGAACCATGTATTA